GAACCAAAAAATGCATCAACTCACCTCTCCCCCTCCTCAACATGTCAACCCGCACGCGCAAGAACCACTGTGAGCCAGGTTACGAGATACGGATGAAGAGAAAATAGATGGGCGATGAACAGCCATAAGTTCAACATCAAAGAAGAAAAAAACAGAAACACGCAAACACGGATTCATCGTACAAGAATTTTCTGTTATCGCCCGCGCTGACACTGATCTCTTTTCATTGGTCGGCTAACTCAGCGTGGTCGATGCAAATAACAAAGACACACACAAAACACACAACACACACCGCACTGAGACTGACGTCACTTCATTGATGAGCCGGTTAGCGCAGTCGACGCTCATAAACACACACACAAACACACACACTTCACCTTGTCGGTCGGCAAAAGGTCCACGAGCTCGACCTCCCAGCGCCAGATGGCCTCGGGTGCGGTGTCCTCCGGAATCACGGCCTTGCGAGGTTGAGAGCCGTAGCACTTCCGCTGGGCGATGAGGCTACGGGCAGGCAGGCAGGCAGGCACGCAGGCGGGCAGGCAGGCACGAACCGCCGCCCGAAGGCAAAAACGAGAGGGACAAGTGTCACGACGACGGCGATGTTGGCAAGGTTATGAAACAGATCCCTCGCTGTGGACATGAAATAGCCCACAGAGGTAGCTTGGCAGCAAGGTGGTAGGTAGGGCGGTTCAACAAAAGCGGCTCCAAGAAAAGTGGAACGCCGGGGCGTTAAAGCGCTCGCGTGCCGAAAACGACAGAGCTTAGGGGAGTGCGTGCAAGCGAGCGGCGGGGGCACTCGCTGCTACACCTCGTGTGTGATAGGAACAGCGACAGCAGCTCTGTCTCAAGTTTGCCCCTAAAAAAAACAGCACAAGCAGCAGCATCACAAATGTTGGCAAGAACGACGACACCGACAATGATAACGCCGGCAACAACACCAGCTCCCCAAGCCCTGTCCTCGAGCAGGCCATCAAGACTACCCCAGCGCACACCGTCCATCTCTCTTATCCCGACGTTCAGAAAAACCCGGTGCAGTCGGTTGGCCGTGCAAGCGTACACCCTGCTGTTCTCGTATCCATGAGTAGTAACATGCCACAACAATTATTCGACCGAAAAAAGTAGGAGCAAAAGACATGTTGTCCTAACCTGATCTTGCCGGAGACCTGATCCGCCGTCAGCCCCGCCGCCTGGCCGGGGATCAAGTCCGCCATCACCTCGCAGGCCTCCTTGGACAGCGACGACAGAGGCGACGCGCTGCCCTGGACCACGCGAGCGAGGAGAGGGGCCAGGTGCTCTGGAAACGCTCCCGCCGCCGCCGCCGCCGCCGCCGCTGCACCGTCATCACAACCCCCGCTCTCCCCCACCGCCTTCCAGGCTAGTGCGCTGTCTACGGCGTCCTGCAGCCCCATCCTGCGGTCCTGGCGACCCTCCCCTTCGTCCGCCGAGCGGGCGCTCGACACCGCCTCTGAGAGCTGCTGCCGGTACTTGACCAGGAGAGGGTGCGATGGCGGCGGCGGCGCTGGGGGCGTCGCACCGTGGTTCGACGTGGCCGCTTCGCCACCACCGCCGCCGGTGGCCGCCGCTTTGTTGCCCTTGGCGCCCGCCCCGCCGACGGTCACGGCCGCCGCTGCTTTCCCCTTGCCGAAGCTGCTGGGTTTCGAAGAAGTGCCAGCTGGGAAAATAGACGCCAGTGTCGGCTTGTCCTTGCCTCCTGCTGCTGCTGGTGCCGCCAACACTACAACGTCCATGTCCTCTTGGCCGCCGCCGCCATGGCTCGGCGGCGGCGGCGGCGACCGCGACGGCGTCACGAACCCCGCCTGCGCCCCCGCGTCTCCCCCCTCCTCCGTAGACTCGCCGCCGTTCCCGCAGGAAGCAGACGCAGCAGACGGCTTCACCGCCTTGCTGTTCTTCTCGGATTTAACGCCGCCGGCGGCGCCTGTGGCGGACAAAGAAGGCGAGAAGAAGGACGAGATTCCGGCCGGCGCGGGCTTCACCGTAACTCCTACCACCGCCGCCGCCGCCGCCGCCGCCTCGTCCGCCTCCACGCGCTGTTGGGCCCTGGACGGGGGCGTCTTGTGCATCGCCATCATGCTACTGGAGGTGGTCTTACCGTTCGTCGCCGCCGCTTGCTCCGACATGAGGACGTCGCTCTCCTCGGCATCGCGCACTGCAGCAGTAGCAGCGGCGACTTTGTCACCGTTTTCGTCGTCGTCGTCCTGGCCTTGTCGCAGCCGTTTCGTCCCGCGGTCGCTAGAACATTCTGCGTCCGCCGGGCTTTCCGTCTCCTAGAGAGGGTCCGTCGGGAACGGGGGAGGCATCGAGCGTGAGGAGATCAGAGAACAAGAAAGAAACATACGTTGGACGACGGCTTCCAATCGGTAGGTAGCAGCGTCAGTGCGATGGTCATTTTGTGTAACTGGCTGCACGCGGATGGTAGTAGTTCGGCAACCTGCTGGACTAATCCACGCTAACGCTTAAGAGCGCAACAGTACGCGCGCATGCACACACACACCTTGTCTAGCTTGAACCGCACAGATTTGATGGCGCTGGACGGAGAACCGCCAGAATCTCTGTCGCCGCCGCCGCCGCCGCCGCCGCCGCCGGGAACGTAAGAGACTTCTTCGATCACCGTCTTCGCCTTCTGCTTCTGCTTCTTCTTCTTCTTCTTCTTCTTCTGTTGCTGCTGCTTCTTCTGCTGCTGCTCTTCCGAAACCCGAGCGCGGGCAGCAGACTTGATACTGGCCGGAGAGCGGCAGCCGCCGCTGCCGGAGGAAGAGGCTTCTTCGATCACCGCCTTTGGCTCCTGCTGCTGCTGCGAATGTGTCAGAAGCCAAGCGCAGGCAGCCAAGAAGGACAAGCAAGGACGCGTCAAAGCGGGACAATCGAGAGAGAGAGAGAGAGAGA